ATCAACATGGAGCCATTGTCCTCCATCTTTGTCTGTGGGGATGTCTTTTCATCTTCTGAAAGTGGCCTGATTTATTCCACACTCAGCTCAGCTGCTATTGAGGGAGTTCCACGTTGCATCTGAATATCAAAGCCCATGAGAAGGTGGCCAGACACTTTAAATGCCATTTTTTGCACAGCACTTTTTGTCAGGGAATGTGACCACTGAAGTGTTGATGACCAAAGTAATGAGCTTGGAGAAACAAAGCCTGCTTTGTGCAGCACGACCTACACATGCAGACACACAAAACACAAGAATCCCCATCACTTTCTGGATCCCAAAACAGGCAAGTTTTTGACTACTGCACTTGAATTCTGGGTCAAGTTCAAGATTAACAGATGTGCCGATACGGATTATAAGTCTGTTACAGACACAATAATATCCTCAGGATATTAATAACCAAGTATTATTAAAGAACAAACAACATTTCTGTCTTTGATCATATGGTTTTCAAAAGGTTCCTCTCATTGAAATGGCATTTGAGGTTCATGGAAAGGGTTTCCCACACGTTCTGATGTCACACGTGAAGCTGGACAGTCTCTGCCCGAGGTCTCTTCTATTTTTAAGACATCGTGCCCTCTTTCAGGGATAAACTACATCACTTATATCTGTAAATCAAGAAGGACAGACATAATAACAATTAGAGGCCTTCAATTACGCCATAAGAGCTCTCTGATCGACTGGTTTTGTGTGAAAGTACAAGAAAAGCCTGTTATTCAACACACCAATAATTTTAGCGAAGCTGGCAGAAATACAAAAGAGCCACCAGATCCAAGGGGCGCCAGTGTAAAAGCCAATAACTATCCGTGTGAATTTATGTGCTTGTTCACTAAAGAAACGACCTTGTTAACATCCATTTCCATCAGTACTGTTGAGATATTTGCCAAGGACCATGAATGAGGTGGTCAGGCATTCTCGTTTCCCTTAAAATTGAGGAAAGATGAATGGGAAGGCTTTTTACACAACTTTACTAACTCATAAAAAGGCCTTTCTTTGTGAGGGTACACAGAGTTGACCAAACCAGTGAGCCTTTTTTTTATCACCTACCATCAGCAAGATTGCCTTTTCTTTCTCTTTTTAACCAACACAATTCCGCTTAGAGTAAAAGGAAAGCTCAACTCCTTGATATCAATATATGTAGCATCCACAGGCATAATCACACAATGACTGGCTCTTTGTGTTTTTCTAATCTGCATGTTTTGTGAAAGTCTGTTCACATAAAGGACATAGGGGGTCAGAAAAGAAACGAAAACCCAAGGCAAAACACCTGCATCTCAAACACTGTAAGAGAAAGTCAGGACATGTTCCTGTGCTGATAAGCTCTGTGATTCCCCCCCCAAACTTCGGAAAGGCAGCTGGGAATTTTCACATCTTGTCTACATCACTGTTTTACTACTTCAGAGTGTTTGAAACAAAACACCACCTTAGGCTTAATGTCCAAAAAATGTCTCGTATCAACACATACATACGTTTATTTACGATGTCATTTCCCATCAAGACAGCGTAGATATATTCGAGGTTATTTAGTGCACAAATTAATGAATTTTACACACTGTGAAAATCTGGAAGAAAAGCATTTCCAGACCACAAGTCCTCATAAATTCAGAGAGTGAAGTCTTGGCTTATGCCAAAAACTGTAACCTGAGTCCTACCTTTCTGCTCTGGCGGATCCAAATCAATATGATTTATGAAAAGGATTTCATATTTAAAAAGCCATTCAATAAACATTCACAAAAACAAAGGATTTTTTTTTTTTTTAAATTGATGAAAGATGCTTCATGCCAGTGAAAGCTATACTGTAGAACAACTGTCTAGATCAAATTACATAAAACTTCATAGAAAGATAATGTGAATTAATTATTTCCAATACTTTCATTTAGACACTGTGACGTATGCTGAAATCTAGTTATGCAGGTACAGTTCGATTTATATGTTAAATTTTTAACAGTGACAAGAGAAAAGTCCAAGATCAGTGACTGATAATATGCAAATAAATCACTGCATCACCACAAAGTGAACATTGTGAACCAGTCCATTGTGAACTTATAAATCATTGCGTCATTATAAATCACAGTACAATAGAAGATACCTTGTATATTCAGATAAAGCGACTGCATTCTTCCCCTTTGGTTGTTCATTTCTTTGAACTATCTTGCTTCTTGTGGAGCTAGTGCAGATAGTAGACAAGATATGCCATTGAGGCAAGCGTCTGTTATTGTTCAGCCCTTAGTGAGCAGTTTCCACTGCATTCATGATAAGCATGAAGTCATAAACTGTTGCAAAAGCAAAAACCAGGCTGCACAACGTTAGTTCAAAGGGGTTAGATCACATTTTTCATCTAAGAAAAACAACCTTGCATTACAAGAGTGCAGTTACGTTAGTAAATTCATTAAATTCATCTAATAAAAACTAGTTCATATCTCCACACCTATTTCTTAACACAATGAATGTAAAATGTACATTATGTACCTACTAAATGTAGAGACTTTTCAAGGAAACACCATGACACATTTGTATTAGTTGCACTTTCTTAACTAAGGTGAATATATGGGGGGGGGATGCCACAAACAGTTTATGCAAATTAAAACATGGCACATCAAGACTATATGTAATTATTAAGTAGTGATTTGTTTTTTTCATTCAGTAACTAAGCCAGTATGCAATCTCTTTATTGCTAACATGTCAATGTCATCCTTACAAATACAGCTTTCTTTTACATGTCACAAAGTCACCTTTTTATCTGACTCACCTGTCACTGACATCAGCTCGTCTTGATTGTTCTTCCATAAAGTTCAATCGATTTTTATTTATTTAAAAAAAATTATATATATATATATATATATATATCTTTGTTCATTTATCATCATCATCATCATCATCACATTTCAAGTCTATTTATTGAAGTTACATAATAGTCATTACAAATCAAGTCTAATTTCAGGTAAAACCTGAAAGTCAAAGAAAGAAAACGTCGATATTTTTAGACAATAAACAATATTACATATCTCTTACTAAATAGAAATGCGACACACATTTGCTTGTAATAATGCCGTAAATGAGTCCTACCTGTCGCGACATTCCCTACTCTGCCGTCTCTTAAAAAATAACTTTTATCAAGGCAAAATCTACATATAGTTCCCACTGACAGTATTGTTTAGTGTAAAACATGTTGAAGATTAGCGAACAGGTCGTCGATTCATTAAATGATATGCTGTTTCCTGACAAAAGCTGTTTATTCAGCGTCTAATAAAAACTAGTTCATATCTCCACACCTATTTCTTAACACAATGAATGTAAAATGTACATTATGTACCTACTAAATGTAGAGACTTTTCAAGGAAACACCATGACACATTTGTATTAGTTGCACTTTCTTAACTAAGGTGAATATATGGGGGGGGGGATGCCACATCTAAGAAAAACAACCTTGCATTACAAGAGTGCAGTTACGTTAGTAAATTCATTAAATTCATCTAATAAAAACTAGTTCATATCTCCACACCTATTTCTTAACACAATGAATGTAAAATGTACATTATGTACCTACTAAATGTAGAGACTTTTCAAGGACACACCATGACACATTTGTATTAGTTGCACTTTCTTAACTAAGGTGAATATATGGGGGGGGGATGCCACAAACAGTTTATGCAAATTAAAACATGGCACATCAAGACTATATGTAATTATTAAGTAGTGATTTGTTTTTTTCATTCAGTAACTAAGCCAGTATGCAATCTCTTTATTGCTAACATGTCAATGTCATCCTTACAAATACAGCTTTCTTTTACATGTCACAAAGTCACCTTTTTATCTGACTCACCTGTCACTGACATCAGCTCGTCTTGATTGTTCTTCCATAAAGTTCATTGTCCGTCACAGTATGGCCTATTGCAATGAATGTTTTGTAGCATTGTAAACCTATATTTGTAGTATTTTTACAAGAGATCAAAAAATTATTTACTTACAATTTCAGTTTCGCTTAACAAGAAAGCACTCAGAACATGTACAATTTGCACGGCCTATAAATATTCTACTGTATTTAATGTTTTTTTTTAAATATATAATTCTGTATAATGCCCTCTTCTTTCTTCCTTTATTATTTATTATGTTTCTATTTTGAGCTGTGGTATTGTTTATGTTTTCTCTCTCTCTCTATTGCTGTTAATTGTAATTATTGTGTTCTAATTTTGTTGTACCATAGTGTAAACTGAATGTTCAAATAAAACATTTAAAAAAAAGACAGTCAGTTAAAGTTTATGTTAGGTTTTATTCTGTTCATTTAAAGAAACAGCATGATTGAGCATACATAACACTGATACTAGACACTAAAAATGTCAATCATTAATTTGGTGAAATCTGCCATAGAAATAATCGATTTTTATTTATTTAAAAAAAATTATATATATATATATATATATATATCTTTGTTCATTTATCATCATCATCATCATCATCACATTTCAAGTCTATTTATTGAAGTTACATAATAGTCATTACAAATCAAGTCTAATTTCAGGTAAAACCTGAAAGTCAAAGAAAGAAAACGTCGATATTTTTAGACAATAAACAATATTACATATCTCTTACTAAATAGAAATGCGACACACATTTGCTTGTAATAATGCCGTAAATGAGTCCTACCTGTCGCGACATTCCCTACTCTGCCTTCTCTTAAAAAATAACTTTTATCAAGGCAAAATCTACATATAGTTCCCACTGACAGTATTGTTTAGTGTAAAACATGTTGAAGATTAGCGAACAGGTCGTCGATTCATTAAATGATATGCTGTTTCCTGACAAAAGCTGTTTATTCAGCGTAGTGAAGCCTCTCCTCCATTGACATCCATTCAAAAAAGCCGCCTCTGCCTTCCCTGCGTACTGCGTACCGTTAGCCGTTGCGCTTTTTGGCTAAAAGTTGCAGCAGGCTCGTCTTCCAGTGGCTTTGAACCAAAGCACATCCTCCTCGAGCATCTTTCACAAGGAGGCGGAAATACGTGATTGACCAGGAAGCGGATGTCAGCGAAAGCATGGCGGCGCGCTGTGTTGTGCAGTCCGCAAGGACAGCGCTGAGGTCCGTTCAGAACGAGCTCAGCACCAAGAGTTTATTTCAGAGGATACCGGGTTTCTCGCAGCTCTCGTTTTTGGGGAGTGCGCCGTGTCGCGGATTTAGACATGGTGAGTTCACTGGAGTTTGATTTCAGGACATCTGCACAGCGCACTGCAACGTCCTCTTCATGTCATAACTGTTATTGAGCTATTATATCATATTATATGCAGTTTAAATGTCTGAGTGCACATCGAAAATCTGGGATGTAATAGAACATTTAATTATTTTAAATTGAAATTTAATAGAAAATGTTCAAAGACGTGTTATAAGGTCTATATTTAAGTCTACACTCATCTTAAACAATAAATACGTGTCATAAGTCAGATGGTTTGCACAAACAGCTTGAGTGCATGTTGTCATTAAATTAATACGCTGGAGAAAAAAAAAAAAAAAGTAAATTTTCCCGTTTTATTCAGTTATTTTGCCGAGAACATAATTTGTATGGAAAAACAAAACTTTTTTTTCACAACACATTTTAACAAGTGCAATTTTTAATGTTATCGTAGCAAGATGTTTACTGTAGTTCACTTCTGTGTCGCTGTGAATGTCTACATTAGGGAATGTCATAAATCACTGCTTGTTGTGTGTTTTACAGTGGTGGAGAAGAAAGAAGGCAAAACGACAGTTGTAAGTAACACCTTCTCTCTCAAATGTACATTTTACAAAAGAAGGTGCAAATAATAAACGAAACAATATTCTAATTGCAAGGACGATCCTTTCTCAAGCATCCAGGATAGAACAATAACTCACCAGTATTATCTGTCTTGTGTTAGTCTCACTTCAACTTGATATTATTTACAATACTATAATTATGCTTCTTTTTGTCACTCTTTTATCAGATAGAGGGTGTTATTGAGCCTACATCTGAGCAACCACAGCCTCCCAACCCCACAGCTTCCTGTCCCATCTACAGATGGAACCTACAAAACAAGTACAACTACACCGTAAGTACTCACATGTGATGATTCTGTGCACCATTATTTTTCTCTCATTATCTTTAAGACTAATCTCTCTCTCTCACACACTCTCGTTCGTGCTGCAGGACGTGCTGTTACTCAGTCAGTTCATTCGCTCAGATGGTGGGATGCTTCCCCGGCGCATTACAGGCCTCTGTGCTCAGGAACATACCAAGATAGTAATTTGTGTACAGATGGCCCATCGTGCAGGTGAGTTGGAGCTTTCTAATGTTTATGTTGTATGAAAATGCTCAGTGTTGCTCCGCTTCAATAAAATCAATGTAATACAACATCTAAAACTGTTTAAACCACATTCTGTTAATTCTTTTTTAATAAGTATTATGAATGCAGCATTTATTCAGCATTTTTAATCTCATATTAACTGAGAGACTATATGGAATATAGAACCATGTAAAATTAACTAGTTAAGGCAACAAAAAAAAAACTTAAAGAAATGGTGATCAGTTAAAGGTCCAAACATACATACTTTGCCTTATATATAATTATATATATATTTTAACCTAAAATCCTAATGCAAAAAATACATGCATCAGCTACTCATCTGTTTTGGTGTCCTTATTAATAGTTACAATCATTTAACCAGTTCCTCGTTTCTTTTTAGGACTCCTACCAGATCATAAACCCCCTTTACCTGAAGGCCATGTTCCAAAACCTAAACCCAACCCACCTCTCAACCGGTACGGTTACCTTAGAAAGATGTAATAATGTCACATATTTGATGAGTCATATTTTCATGTGCCATTTTTAGATTAGGTACATACCATTAATCAGACAGTCTCTTATGGTCTGTTGCAGGTATCTGACACGTTACTCTGTGAAGTCTGTGAAGCCCATCTTCAAGACAGGGCTGAAGTGGTGTAAGAAGAGAATGACTGTAGGACATCCTGCCCTGAAAAACAATGTCAGATACAGCCCCAAACCACTGTACATAAAGCACTGATGGACACAGCTGTTAACCCAATCAAAAGAGTGACTTTCATGGGACTGAGAGGATCTATGACAAAGGATTTGTACCTGCCTCTGGCACAAAGAGACTGTTAATTGATAAACCAGAGTGCACTGAAACATCAAAATGTAAATTCAGAGATCACTGTAATGTAACTCTAGAACTGTATGTTCAGCCCTCTGATTTGGCTTTCCACAGTGTGATTTGGAGAAATGTTAAATTATATTATTGCAAGGGCAGATTTGCAAATAAAGCGTTTCCCTCACTTGCAGCTGTTGCATGTGTTTGCGCCAGAGAAAAACCGAGGTAAACGTTTGTGACTGCCTTAAAGGTTGAAACACCAATGCAACTTCAACTTTCTAAACATGCTGACATGTTTATGTTTTCCTGAAATTAAATAACAAAGAAAATTACAGTGCAAATGCCTTAAAGGTTGAAACACCAATGCAACTTCAACTTTCCAAACATGCTGACATGTTTATGTTTTCCTGAAATTAAATAACAAAGAAAATTACAGTGCAAGTAAATCACAGAATTGATTACACATTCACGCTTAGAGCGAGATTGAATATTTTGCTGCCATTAAAATGTGGCACCAATACTAGAAACAGTCCTTTTGGCTGCTATAACATGAAGGGCAGGTCAAGGTTCATCAGTCCGTCTCCCATGTAGATGTGCCCATGCTGAGGGGTCTGGGGAATGTGGAAGAAGGTGAGACCCAGCCAGAGCAAACTGCGTAATACACACATAGTGCTGCCCCGCTCAAGCTGGAGGCTCCATGACCCTGCATGAAGGACACACACAGTAAGCAAAAATGACAAGAAAAAGACCAGAATTATCCTACTGTGCAAGATCAAAGGGGGAAAAAGAAGGCAAAAAGCATTTTGCATAAACTGAACCTGAATGTTCGACCATTACACATAACCACTGACAGAGTCCAGACTGTGTGATAGTGTGACAGACGCAGAGTAAAATCTGGAGAAGAAAGTCGTGTGACAGAGAGTTGGCTCAGTTATGGATAACTATTATCACAGTAGTATATAAAGAAGAGGCGTTCTGGTGTCTTTCTGTCTGGGTGGCCCCTGCATCCAGCTGCCGGCATTGGCTTGCGCCCAGTACTGCGAAGTCCGATGCCAGTGAAGTCTGTGTTTGAATTGCAGCACTGAACATTAACTGCTAACAATGTTTAACCTAAAACACTCAAAAGTCTACAATAATGTCAATTGTGACTCTGCTTTATTATGACTTCAAATATTTATAGGCGGCAGTTCTATAGAGCGCTCACTAATTAAAAAAGCTTTTGAGGATAATATGTAGTAATTAGATTTTCTCGTCCAAAAGATCCGATATTAAATTAGCCTGGCAAATCAGACAAGTTACTTCTATCAACACTGAACGAAACCATTACCCTTCATTTCTTCCAGTGATATTTGGCTTAATAGTCATACGGTTATACAATATTTTCAGCCTTTCCAAGTTCTTGGGAAATCTCCCCACTTTTTCCTTCTCCAGGCCACATTCAAGGTAACCTGAAATATCACCGCCCATTCCCAGTATCCTCTACCCACTATTTGAGGCGTCCAGATGAACCTGTTCACCTCTGGCACTTCTTGAGAGGGGATTGGGTTTTTTTCCACCTGATTGGTCAAGGGGAAAAGAAGAAACTGTTACGCAGGGCGGGTAAATGCCCTCTGTCTGAAACCTGCACTACTTTTTCAGTTTCTAGAGACAAAACAAATCAACTTAGCCTAGTATTGCCTGAGGTTAGGGGCCATCCCTTAGAAAGAGAAAGAAAGGACAGATCACCTCCTTTAATGAAACAGCTGAGATGTTTCTACCACACTTAAAGTCTGGGCATGTGTCCAGTAGGTTGACTGTGCCTTCAAACTCTACTGAGAAACTGAGGTTGCATTCAATAGGAGGTCACTCTTAATCTTGCAATGAGTGCTTTTATGCCAGAGTCATAAGCTATGTTTTCTGTAAATGTCAAGGCTCAAAGTGATGCTCTAGTGCTTCGCTCGGTATGTTAAACAAGTCAGATTCCATCTGGTTAAGATTCAGGATCAGCAGAACCAGATATTCCTTGAGGAACTCAACGTTAAACAACCAGTAGTGGTCTGTAGCCTGTAGGCAAGCAACGGGTAATGCCTCATGAAGCGTGCTTGATGAATACCTTTCAGCAAGCTTATGTCTGACTTGAATTTGTGGGGAACAACAACATACGAATACATTTTACGTTTTGTTAGTTCACTCCCAACTGACAAACATGGCAGGAAGACACACGAGATATACGAGAGGGAAATTTATAGTTGTTGTAGAAAATGGCATTCCCTCAAACGCTTCTTCCCAGAAAGCAAAGAGAACAATGGGATCATGGTTTGCAGAACAACACCCCAGATGTCTCCTTGGCTTTCACTCGACCTTAGGCAGCTGCCAAATCATATCTGTCATTAACCCAGGGAAATCCAGCTACAGGGATCATGGGATGCCTTGCAGAAGGACTTTTACACCCTCCTCATATTTCCCACCACTATTAAAGCTTCCTAAATGCAATTTGCATGTCAGCATCATTTTTTGGAAAGTATGGTGATGCTAACAGGTGTCGTTCACCTTTGAATTATTAAGTCTAAAGCAAAAGAGGGGTCCGATTCAATGCAAACGTTTCATTACAGGACTTGAGGGTGGGAGCTGGAGACTCCCACTGTACCTTCAGAAACAATATTGTGACTGGAAATAAAACCACATCACCAATAAATCATCACACAAAAAGGTAATGAAAGATCGTTCCTTTTAATTACCTTTGGGAATGTCCTCGCTCAAAGGATCTAGGAAGTCAATAGCAGGGTTTAGGTGAGACATTTCCAGGATGGACTTCTTTTTCAGGTTAACCGGCTCACGGAAGTGCAGATAGTTGCGCAGTTTCGCAGCCTCAATGGGATCTAGACCTGCAATCAAGTGTAGGGTGAACACACATCCTCTTTTTTCCCAGACATGTCCTGACTAGGATTTCTAAATTGCCTAAAATGTCCAGGTTTGTATCTATTGTACATAATCGACCAATCGTGGCAAGCAAGAAGGTGGGATGTAGAGAATGCTCAAAGCAATGCAATTGCTCATACATATAATGTATGAAGACTGTAGAGAGAGCACATCAATAGAGAAACAAAGACAAAACCTGGACATTTTTGGCAATTTAGAAATCCCGGGCCAGGGAAAAAAAAGAGGACGTATGGTCACCCAAATCATGTGCAAAATTTAAACTGATCTAGGGTCTGACAATTCAGATAAATGACAACATAATCAGATGAACTGAAGACTGATTACAAGAAAGTGGCTTCAGAGAACTGAAATGGATTCCATTTTACTAAGAAATGGAAACATACAGACTTTAGTTTTATACTCACACAGCTGCATCTGATTGCGGGTGGAAAGCATATACAAACACTTCTGAACTGCTAAGAGTTTGACTGTAAACATACCCCCAAAGCTTCGGTTTGTCTGCACTTTGCCGCTGGGGCTCTTGGTAAATGCACCACGTGGCACTACAGACGCATCTTTATCGATGTTTGACACGGCTGTTGCCAGTCTACTCGCCTCATTCACTTTCACCTGCAGAAACGGAGGCATGTTAACCGCTTCATAAACATTCAAGAAGCCGCCTGCCATCTACCATGTTTACTCCATTATAAACCATGAATAAACAGAAAACCGAATAAATAATAACAGTTGTTTTACATCCAAACATTACGACGTCCACATAAACACAACAGTCATTTTGTGTTTCTAATTTTCCTTGAAATGTTTACTCTTTTGATTGCTAAAAAATTAAAGATTGGTCAACAAAGCAAGATCTGTGTTTTATAAAGACACAAACATCTCACAATCCTGAAATGCAGATATACCACATTAGCCAAGGAAGATGGGCTTTTGTTCATTTTCTTCAATCTATTTTCCTATTTCCAGAAAGCTGCATGCTCCTTATAGCCCCATCTGTGTCGTGTAACCCAAGTGCCCCTCCTCTCACCGTGACCTCTTCCTCCGTGGCGTCGTCCCCCTCTCCCTTAATGCGCATCTCTGTGTGCTCGTACTCATGGGACGGGTCGCCTGTGAATCGCCCTTGTGCTGCTAATGCCACATCTGCAATCATGGACTCAGTGGCTGGGGGTAACAGGTGCCAATCCATGCAGTTTAAACTGTTTAATGATAAAAAATTATAAAAATGTAATTTCAGAAAGAACACAATTTATCACTCACTAACAAGATTAAACAGATATTGGTATTGAATATCACGGTTTTTCCAAATAATACTGATATACATATACATATATATACATATAAAATATTATTCTTCAGATAATTAAAATGTTCTTCACAATAAGAAAAAAATGGTTCTTTTATGAAGTGTTCACTGAAAGGAAACCAAAATTGTTCTTCTATATATATATATATATATAAACCATTTTACTAATAAAATATGTTTCATTATACAATTTTTGAAACTTTCACTTGAATGGCCACCATATTAAGGTTACATTTTCAAAGGAAATTAGTAATGAAACCAATAAAAGGTTATTTTATTGAATTAAAATTGCAAAATCAACTTATGTGAGAGACAAATTTAGCAATCGTTCACGATCACAAATGAGTAAACAAGCACTTATTTAAACAAGCAACATGATTTCATACCTGTACAAAGACTTTTTGTTTTTCATTTCATCATCTTCAACTCCTTGAGCAATAAAATAGTCGCATTTTATCCCCAAAATCTTTCCCCAAAATAAAACCCGGCTGAATTTGTAGTTTCTCTTCAGAATGACCAGTGAGGTTTGAAGAGCGGCTCTCTGCTCACTGCTCAGAGTCAAACCATTACATGCGGCTAAATCCAACGAGTAATGCAAAGATTCAGAGTCCATCTCAACAGCGTTTACTAACAAATTTATATCTACAAAAGAATAAATTTCGCTTGTTTATTGAACTGACGCTAGCAAGCGAATCAGCCTCAGAGTCTCCGGTTACCCTGTGGTTGCTAAGGTAAACAAAAGCCCTAGCATCCTGTTGCTATAGCAACTCACAAACACTCGGCTCACTACAGCTGAATAGTTAATTGCTCACATTAAAAATGTTTATGAAAAATATATATTTAATTAATATTCTAATTAAATTAATGCTTATGTTTTTATATATATATTTAAAATATATATATATATATATATATATATACATATATAACAATATTCAGAAATGTTAAGTTATTTTTTGCATTTGATTTTCGGGTCATCACA